GGGGGGGGGAAAGGCCTAATCAAAAATTGGAGAAAAAAAAAATCAAAAATTAAAGCCTAATCAAAAATTTCCTACACTTGCAACTCCTCTGTGTTTTTACCTTAAAGCCTCTAATCAAAAACTGAAGAAATAGAAAATAAAAGAAATTTCGGGGCCGCATGGTTTCGGAGCCCTAATTTTGATAATAAAGGGTGTAAAGGGTGAAAAAGAATGGTTTTTTTTTTCTCATTCCAATATGAATTACAGTTTGTGACCAGCTGATCACTGGTGCCAAAGAGAAGAATTTGGTTGTGAAAGGTCCAATTCGTATGCCAACAAAAATTCTACGCATTACCACACGTAAAACGCCATGTGGTGAAGGCTCGAAAACTTGGGATCGCTATCAGGTAAATGCCAAAAATCCTGCTTTTTTATTGTCCGCTTTTGTTCTACTTTTATTAGTTTTATTCTCATTTGTTTGTTTATTATGCGTTTTTTGCAGCTATGCAATGCAGAAAACGCATATTGACGAGGGATTGTCCGTGTGTGTGTCTCTGCGTCTGTGTGTCCGTGCGTCTGTGTGTACGTCTGTCACGCTTTTTCATTTCAAGACCTGCAAAAGCTACAGGGCTGAAAGTTTGGGAACTTAATGTACATGCACGTACGGGCCCCAGTCCCCAAATTGGGCGCCATTACCCGCGTGATACCCACGTAAGAGCCCGCCAAAGTTTTGGGTAACTGCTAACTCGGAAATCAGAAGTGCTTGGGGGCTGAAATTTTAAGGGGAAGGTCCCCATCTAAGTATATGTTAATGAGCTCAAACCTAGCCCCCGGGTAAGCGTACGAGCCCGTCAAAATTTTTTTCGAGTAATTTCATAACTCGGAAAACTGAGAAGCTAGAATACTAAAATCTTAGGGTAATGTTCCCAGTCCAAGTAGGTATTAATGAGCTCTAACCCAGCCCCCGGGTAAGCGTGGTACCCTCATACGAGCCCGCCAAAATTTTTTCCGGTAAGTTCATAACTCAAGGATCTGATAAGCTAGGAAGCTGAAATCCCAGGGTGGTGTTCTCCGTCCATGTGGGTATTAATGAGCTCAAACCCAGCCTCCAGGTAAGCGTGGTACCCGCGGACGGGCCCGCCAAAGTTTTTTCCGGGTAAGCTGATAACTCGGGGATCTGAGAAGCTAGAAGACTGAAATTTTGAGGGGATGTTTCCTGACAGTCCTGGCAGCCAGTCTGAAATTCTTTTAGCTAGAAGCATCTGTCGGAAAAACCAGTGTCGTTAGCGACAAAAATCTGCAAGGAGCTATTCAAAAAACACATCTTCGCATGGGCAGCCCGTGTGTTGGCCAATTATTAATAGTACAATAAAAGGATTGGACTTAGGTGTCACGTATAAGAAGACATTTTACGATGCAATCTATCGGTGTTTCATCCCTTAGCTGTAAACACGCAGACCGAATTATGCGTGCGGTTAGGAGCAGGAATCATCAGTACAGTCTCCTTCCTACCCATCATGTACTGAACAGCCATGTAACTAATTTGCAAAACTGACAGCCATTCATATTTTTGGTAGCACTTCTCAAGTTTTTGCTCTAATCGCACGTAGGTATTGATCTGGCCGTTGAAATCGGGACGAATGTTCACTCAGAACCAGGGCTTTATCGGGAGGATGACACACGGGGTAGGAACATATAGACACACACAATACTGAGTGCCTGCTTGTTTTTGGCAGAATAT